AAGATTTGACAGCAAGAAGAAAACAAAACAACTGGGACATACGATCAGGTCGTTGTAACTGACAAGTTTGCATATATTCCTATTTAGAAACCACTAAAGGCCATTTTTCAAAACCCAAGAACTTGCAGACATGTTCAAGCCCAGGCACATGCCCAAGGAAGGTTGTGTATGCAGACTTGAGAGATGCCGCCTATTTTAAAAAAGTCCCTTATTCTCTATAGAAAAAGATGCCATACAGATCCAGCTATTTTATGACGACTTTGAAACAGCAAACCCCTTGGGGTCTAAAAAGGGGTATACACAAATTAGGTGCTATATACTTTACATTAAGGAATTTTCCCCCAATCTTTAATTCATCATTGATAAATATTCATTTGGGTGCTACTTTCCATGCGCAGGACATCAAGCGTTATGGTTTAATTTGATACTTGAGCCACTGTCAGTGATCTTAAGTACTCGAGACAGAGGGACTTAAAGTTCCCAGATTGAAAGATGTGATTCACGGTACCATAGTTCAGGTCCTGGTGATAATCTTGGGTTGCATGGTTTATTTGGCTTTGTGGAGTCATTTGGGGCAAGGTATTGTTGTCGTTTCTGTCTCCTTGAGAAAGATTGTTTTCAAACTGTGTTCTGTGAAGATGATCCAAAAGTTGTTACTACGAACTATCGAGATGCACAAACTGCACTGTCAAACTTTACAAACAGATCCTACACTACCTCATATCTATGGTGTCAAAACGCATTTGTCTGCTGAATTCACTACAGTATTTTAATACAGCCAACAATTTTTCTGTAGATATAATGCACGATATTTTAGAAGGAGTTGCTCAGTTTGAAGTCAACACTTGTCCTGCAGTACATTAAGGAAAACTTCCTAAATGCTGAACAACTGGCTGGTAGAATACATGCTTTTGACTATGGATACAATCAGCAGCGAAACCGTCCACCTAGAGTAAAGTTGTTTGATGGAAGTAATGATTTGGGGTGAATGCTATACAGTCTTGGTGCTTATTACGTAATATGCCTTTGCTATTGGTGATTTAATACAGTCAGATGACCAGCACTGGCATCTTCTACTTTTGCTTCTACACATTGTTAACATTGTATTTTCCCCAGTCCTTACAGAAGGCATGACCATTTACCTCAAACATTAATCATTGATCATCATCAGCTCTTCAAGCAGTTGTTTCCTGCAATCAATCTCTTACCAAAGCATCACTTCATGATTCATTACCCTCGTAATATAAAAAACATCGGCCCAGTTCTGCACATGTGGTGCATGCGTTATGAAGCTAAACATAATTTTTTTAAGAAGCAATTAAAAGCTTTAAAAAGTAACAAAAACATTAGCCAAAAAGCACCAAAGTTGTATGGCAATGTATCGAGAGTCCTTTAGCAAGGAAAGATTAACTTTAGGTTCGGGGAAGATGGTAACCACTTAGTGAGCTCAAAGAAGGTCCCGAGATTGCTTTAAAATTTGGGTCTGTATTGTCTACCAGTGTGTTTTCTGCCAAGTGGATCAAACATCATGGTACAGAGTACCCGCCGTGACTTCATTATCTGTACTGAGGTAGCATTTGAGATGCCTGTATTTTGTAAAATCAAAATTATTGCTGTGAAAGATGACTGTGTATTGCTCTGTGGAAAACTGATGGAAACAGTGTGTTTTGATTACCATTACTATGCCTTTAAGGTCAGGATGCATCCAGACAGGGTTCAAAAGGTGATCAACATTACTGAACTGTGTTACTTTAAACCTTTTGATGTTCAAATGAAGTATGGAACGACAGATTCCTCCTTGTATGTGTTCCCTATTGCCATTTTATGGAAACCTAAGGTAAATGTTTTAAAAAGGGATTTGTATTCTTAATATATTTTAGCCTGACATAGTTGAGCTGTTAATAAAAATTTGAAATGCATTATTTTGTGGTAAGTTGTGATTTTTACTCACTTAATGGAGTATTTGGTGTAATTTGACACTAAAAAAAGTGTAAAATGAATACTGCTGAGATTTATTTCCGTGACACTATACGGTGTTAGAATTTGACTCTATTTGAGCTTGTTTTTCACTGCAAGATAGTCAATTATCAACACAATAGTGTGTAACATCAACACTTATCAGAGTTATTTTAACCTTGAGTGTCAACTCCATGCAGTGTTAAACTGGACTGGAATCAAACTCAATCAGAGTTGATTTGTTATTTTAGAAGAGTAAATGATTAACTCTTCCAAGGGTAATATTTACACTCTCCAGTGTTATTTAACCTTTAGTGTAAAATTAAAATAACACTATTCAGTGTAAGCAAGTGTTACATTTTTACTCTATTTAGAGTTAATTTAACTCTAAAATGTTAACACTATGAAAAGAGTCAAATTAACACTATTTCAGGGTGGGACCATATACACTCAGAAATAGTGTTAAATTTAACTCTTTAAGTGTTACTTTAACACTTCAAAATTTACTGTGTAGACCCCCACTCGCCCTTCATTCACAAAATATTTCATGGCCCTAAACCCCCCCCCCCCCCCCGCAGATATAACCGCGGGGGCTGGGGGTTATTAGTTAACCCGTGCATCATTAGTATGCAAGTGTTTTCTGTCCATTTGTTCAGTTTCAAGACTGAGTCAGCCAGGCTTAATCATTCACTCTGTCCTTCCCAATGTGTGTAAAATTGATGGCTGCTCTGCTCTGTTATTTTTCTCGCTTTCCATCATACTGCCATCTGCCACCGCCCATGGGCCCCAGCAGCCCCCCCCCCCCCCCCACACACACACACAGCAATTCAGCACTTACCTACCCACCCACATGGAGCAGGCAATTCAACACCTACACACACACTGCCTCTCTCTCTCTCACACACACACAACTCCCTCAAACACACACACAAGCACACAGCCAATTGAGCCCACACACTCTCTCGGCACAGTGGGACAGTGTCAAATCCAACAGTCAGTTAGGTTGAACAGCAGGAGCTGTAGATTACATCCAGGACAAACCTATCAACCCAGCCCTATCTTGGATAGATCTGAGAGGAGGCAGGTTGACTGCTCTCTCAGCCTTGTTTGAGCAAATATTAGAGCAAGCCTGAAAGGGTGATGCATACATCATAAATCATCAGCTAACAAAGGTGTACTGTATGTCTGGATCATATTAATACTCTGATTACCCGGCAGGCAGGCCCAGTAGATTGAGTTGAACTGAGCTGGGCCGTAAAGGCGGTACAGAGGATCACTCTGCTCCTCCTACACCCGACACACAAGACACACCACGAACCGTCGTCCTCCACAGTTCAGCTCTCACACACCCACAGCAGTGCAGACCATGTGAAAGAGTGGTCCTCAGCCTGAACCTCAGCGACTAAGCCCACACAATCAATCACTCACACATACCCACTCACTAGCACAACATATTATGGTCTCCCACACTTGGAATGTGTGAGTAAGTCTTGCCAAGATTTGAACCATATAACAGAGTATGGTTTTAAACTGTACACACTGTTTATGCAATTGCGCCAACCCACTGGCCTAGAAGTGTCAACACTGATGTACTTGTATATGCAACCTCTTAAAAAGGATACCAGAAAAGATAACTGAATCCATTCTAGAGAATCCAACCACATTTCATGCTTTTATCTAACTAGAGCTGCAGGTAACTTCAAAGAACATACTGTATGTCCCTTAGGGAGAGAGCAGGGCTCGGGTGAAATTAAATTAACTCTCATACAACCCCATAACCCTTTGATAAAGCAGAGGGAAAAGACTCTGTTATTCGTTCATATTAGCATATTTTCATTCCCTTCCCTTTCTCCCCACCCTCTCTCATTCTTCAACTCTCACCTTAAGCAGAGAGAAAGCAGATCATCTGATATTTTCAGGATATGCATAATATTTAGCGCAGTATAGGCATAATCTTTCCTCCCTAAATGTGCTTTAAGTGTACAAAAATAAGACTTTAAAAGCAAACCCATTTGAGATGGGGGCTGAGATAGTAATGAATAACATCAGAGTACCGCCATCTTCCTCAGAGGCCACCAAATCTACACAGTATGTTTTGTTATACTTTATCCATCCCAGCTATTTTTTACCAGGGGGCATTGTTACAGGCAGGAGACACTCTCCCTCTTTCCATCTGTAGCCATCCATAATTCAGCACCTCCTTCCATTATTCCGCTCAGAGCTACTCTGCTGCTGACCGGCCAAATTGCTATTGTTTTACCCATTCAGACACAGTCATCACTGTAATGCTACAAGATAGACCCCAGGAAGGCAATACCACACTCTAGTGCACCATGGACCTGGCTTGTCTTCATAGCACTCACATTGTAAGACCCTGTTAGCTCAACCAAGACAGAACGTGTTGGTGATCCAGACTTCCTCCCACACACACTTCCTTTATTTAAGTTCATAATCTCTCATTGATTCCTGCTGTATTGAGATGTATGTTGTTTTTTTACTTGTCAACTCACACACAGACTGCCCTTTTCATTCTCTCAGACAGACAATGGGGAAGGGTAGGAAGTATGAACAGTTAACAGGCTGGATCATGTTTAATGCAGTCCCGCCTCATTGGTCCAGGGATTATTAAATCAATAAATCATCACACTGCCTTTGTCCAGCTGAACGGGTGTCATCACTGTATAGGCCCTTAGCCAGGCTGTAACATGTCAGGGTCAATATATAGACCGGAGGGTAGGACGGAATGAATGAATGAATGAAATAATAAATGAATTAACGAGATCGTATACATCCATAGAATTTCCAATGGGACAGTAGACATGAAAATTAAACTTTATGGCCACTTGGCAAGAATAATGTTGATTCATATTCTCACTGTTGTGTCTATGACGGGTATGAGGCCATTCACTAGAAATACAGGACATGCACACACATTCAAAATCATCTTTGGGGTTTTTATAACGGTTTGCTTTTTGTGAAACTTACGTCATCTACGAAGTGAAATTGCTTCATTTATTATTCAACATCAAATCAAGACAGAGAGGTCACTCACCTGTATAGTCATCGAGGCACTCGCAGGTGTAGCCTCCCTCCCTGTTGAGACACAGGCCATGGGTTCCACAGGGTTTGGAGTAGCACAGGTCAATCTCTGTCTCGCAGTAGTCTCCCGTGAAGCCGGTGGGGCAGCGGCAGCGCAGGCCGGCGATGGGGTGGATGGGCCGGAACAGGATGGTGTCGGACGCCACGAAGGGCGCCAGACTGTCGAACTTCAACACGGATACACACTTCATGTAGTTCTCGCAGGGCTCTCTCAGGCAGATGTTGTCATCGAAGGGCAGCACCTGCTGGGAGGAGATGCGGGCCAGCAGACTGCGGTTCAGGTACAACCTCTCCTGTAGCTCCTCAGAACCAAAGAACTCTGCCACTCCGTTGGCCCCTGCTGCCCCTCTGCCCACCCTTCCGCCCCCCCGGGGCCCCTCTCCTCCCCCACGCGGGCCCTCCCCGGACATGGCCACAGACAGGCTGACATTGAGGATGCGGGCGCTAACGTCTGTGTCATCCTGGATGTTGAACACTACAACATCCTCGCGGTCAGCTGACAGCACGCGGGCCACGCCCTCCAAGAACTGGGACAATAGCTGGGACAGGAAGTGCTCCTGGGAGGTGTTGGCCAATCGCAGCGTGATGCTGTTGGATAGCATCTCGTCTGTGATGATGGTGACCTGGAGCAGACACTGGGCCGACACGGAGTGGATCCCATCTGACAGGAGAGGAAGAGGAGAGATGCAGGGGGCACAGTATTAATGCTTCAGAATCTGGATTTACATCACAAACAGTACTCACAGTGCCTTCAGAAAGTTCACAACCCTTGACTTTTTCTGAATTCAAAATGGATTAAATTGAGATATTTTGTCACTGGGCTACACACACACAGTACCCCATAATGTCAAAGTGGAATTATGTTTTTCAACATTTTCACAAATTAATTTAAAAAATGAAAAACTGAAATGTCTTTAGTCAATAAGTATTCAACCGCTTTGGCTTGTAAAAATGTGCTTAATAAGTCACATAATAAGTTGCATGGACTCACTCTGTGTACAATAATAGTGTTTAACATGATTTTTGAATGACTACCTCATCTCTGTACCCCACACGTACAATTATCTGTAAGGTCCCTCAGTCGAGCAGCGAATTTCAAACACAGATTCAACCACAAAGAAAAGGCAGGTTTTCCAATGCCTCGCATAGAAGATGGGTAAAAATTAATTACACTTTGGATGGTGTATCAATACACCCAGTCACTACAAAGATACATGCGTCCTTCCTAACTCAATTGCTGGAGAGGAAGAAAACCGCTCTGGGATTTCACCATGAGGCCAATTGACTGTAAAACAGTTACAGAGTTTAATGGCTGTGATAGGAGAACTGAGGATGGATCAACAACATTGTAGTTACTTGACAATACTAATCTAACTGAACCAGGTTTTATAACATGATGCAGCCACCCCTATAATGTGTTGTATTTGACCCAAACATAACATTTTGTATTCAGGACAAAATATTAATTGCTTTGCCACATTTTTGGCAGTATTACTTTAGTGCCTTGCTGCAAACAGGATGCATGTTTTGGAATATTTTTATTCTGTACAGGCTTCCTTCTTTTCACTCTGTCAATTAGGTTAGTATTGTGGAGTAACTACAATGTTGTTGATCCATCCTCAGGTTTCTCCTATCACAGCCATTAAACTCCAACTGTTACAGGGGCGGTTTCGCGGACACAGATTAAACCTAATCCTAGACTAAATTGCACTTTTAAACTGGACTAACAAATCGCATTTCTCAGACATGGTTTAAAATAATAGTCTAGATTTAAAAAGTCCGATTTTCAGAAGGACGATTAGAGTTAATCTAGATCTGTGAAGGCTTGAATAAAACCTGGCCAGAGGCAGGTTTAACTTCAGATTAATGGATGTTGGCCCCCAGGTTGACCTTGGCAATGGAGGAAAATGGAATTATGATCAAAGAGCACCACCAAGGCCAGACAGAAGGGTGGTTATAGACAGGGGCAACCCACTGAATGATTTTGATGAAATCAATTTCCGTATGTAAATAGAAAATGCAGCTGACATTAGTTTACTTGAGCCAAGGATTTCACCTGACTCTTTTCGGGGAAGGCCCATCCCTTCTTCCCTACAAGTACTGATCACCTTGAGGTTTTTTAGCATCTGGAACCTTCCATCGTGAAACAGGAGATTTGTATGGTGTAAGTGAACCGACTGTATGCAGAATAGTCCACAAAGTCTGCAATGCTATAGGTGAACTGAAAGACAAATACATCAAGTTCCCAAATGCTGCTGCCCAAGCCAACTACAAGGTAGGGTTCTATGAATATTGGAACTTCCCTGGAGTCATTGGCTGTATAGATGGATGTCATATTCCCCTCAAGTGTCCCTCTACAGCAGATGCTGAGGAGTCCAGGAATCTTAAAAACTGGTTCTCAATAAATGTACAAAGTGTGTGTCCTCCCAATTTGCAGTTCTCCAACAGTGTTGCACGTGGGAAGGGGTAACATCAAGGATCTGCATCTTCATATCATGCTCTTCTTATAAATACATTAGTTTGCACCCATAAAATTCCATGGCCAGGTTCGCATGCATGCTCAGCCTCTTTGTATTTGTCCTCCGGCCCGGGTTAGTGACAATCTTCCCTCCTGGCTGCAGCAGATGTCCCCTCCAAGCTATGGTGATCATCTGCCTCTAGAAAATGATTACATTGCTGCATTAGAGAACATTATTTCTTCAAGAGTTGAGTTCATTACATAAGTTATTTTATGGGAGTGCAAGAGATGACTGACAACATTACATATTCCCTGCAGTACGGGGATGGCACATGCTGAGTGAATGTGTCCTACCAAATGAGGATTGGAACGGTCCCCAATGTGAACTGTCCAATATGTCACCCCTTCCAGGGGTTGCTGGCTATCAATGATCCCGGTCAACAAGTCCCCCAGCTCATCTGTTTCTGGTCTTACCAGTCTTGAAACGCTCCCTATGAGCAACAGCATATGTCTTTAAGTTGATTTGTATGTTTTTCCACAGAACCTCAGAAAGGCAAGACAATATAGAAATGATATTAGTAATTATGTATGACATTGTTTGTGTTACATTCCTGTCACACAAATACATTTATGCTCCACTGTGTTGTGTTACGCAAGAAAAATATCATTTCAAAGTGACTGATTTGTAAAAGTGGGCCAACCAATACAGTATCTTACCTGAAGTTGTTGTAGCGTCCTTTTGTTTACTTTTTCATTTGAGTTGAATTCATTACAAATGGTAGTCCAGGCATTCTTTTTCTTGTTTTCTGTTGATGAATCATGCTGTTTGTTCTTGATAATTGGGTGGTTTGACACAATTCGCTTCAAGAGGTTTTTTTTCCAAAGTCACTGAAATTATTTTATCTCCGTCCATTGTTTGGTTTAGGTGACTTGCTCCAATTCAACACAATGCTTATGTACTAGTGTCCCATGCCTGGTTTTGTGAAGCATCCTTAGGTCAGCACCAAGTGCACATCGTTAATCTAATCAGACTTCACAAAGATTAACTGGTTAGTCCTTACCTTAGTCTGGGACTCTGAAGTTAAGCAACGTCTTAGAAAGCCATTTTTAAAATCTGGATTAATTTAATTAGAATTAGCCTAGTCCTGACTTTAATTAAACTATGTACGCAAAAACCACCCCTTAAAAGTCACCATTGGCTTCATGGTGAAATCCCTGAGCAGTTTCGTTCCTCTCCGGCAACTGAGTTAGGAAGGCCGCCTGTATCTTTGGCCGCCTGTATCTTTGAGTTAGGAAGTGACTAGGTGTATTGATACACCATACAAAGTGTCATCAATAACTTCACCATGCTCAAAGGGATATTCAATGTCTGCTTTTTTTTTTGTATTATTACCCATCTACCAATAGGTGCCCTTCTTTGCGAGGCATTGGAAAACCTCCCTGGGCTTTGTTGTTGAATCTGTGTTTGAAATTCATTGCTCGACTAAGGGACCTTACAGATAATTGTGTGTGTGGGGTACAGAGATGAGGTAGTCATTTAACAATCATGTTAAACACTATTATTGCACACAGAGTCCATGCAACTTATTATGTGACTTGTTAAGCAAACTTTTACTCCTGAACTTGTTTAGGCTTGCCATAACAAAGGGGTTGAATAATTAGACTCAAGACATTTCAGCTTTTCATTTTTTGAGTTCATGAATCATTAAAAGTTAGACAGCCAATCAGGCCCTCTCCGATATCATCCAACCATCTCTTCTCACCATCTCAAATAGACTCTGCGGTTGAGACATTTGTAAGGATCTGTTAGTAGACAATACATTAATACAAAGTATTACTGATGTTAAAGATGTTCTCTTTTACAGTATAATCCTGTCTCCTGTCTCCGTCTGTCTGGATCTCTTTACAGTCTATTACTGCCATATTTGGTTTGTGAAAATCAATAGATAAAGTTGTCAAAAAAAGATAAGAAACCAATCCTATTATTTCCTTAGTTATACATTCTATCTGCAGCGTTGTGTGTTTAAGGTCACCAGAGAGAGAGAGAGGTTCTATTTGTAGCATGTCGTCTCATCTCTGGCCTGTAGGCTTCTGTTTGCTCTGCTGTTGCTTGAAGGGCAAACACAAAACACGCCTAATCAAATCAAACCTGCCGTGAAAACAAGCCCCAGTCTCTTCCCCCTCGACAGTAATCAATAGTCTCTTTGTCTGGGAGCTCTGGATGTGGGCCAGGGAACAGAAACCCTCAGCTTAGCTCTGGTGGAGGAGGAGAAAACCCAACCAACCAACCAACCAACCACACAGACAAACAAACAGTCAGCAGCACTGTGGAAGCTACCAGATCCCAGGCTGGCGCAAGGCGTGTTTAAACACCCAGTGCCACAATGAGAGCGAGCAGGAAGAGCAAGAGAGAGGAGTAGAGAAGTGAGGAGCAGAGAGGAAGGAAAACTGAGCAGCATGTTTGACACGGCTTAAATCTTTCTGCTCCCAGTCAAGCCACCTCAGCACTGGAATGCTACAGGCCCAGAGCAGAGGGAATGGGAGCTGGAGGGAGGACTGGGAAGAAGGAACACTTCTCTCTCAGACACACATCTGTGTCATCTGTGCACACAGAAAGGCACTCGCACAGAAACAAATTGGTGAGGAGAACATGTCAGAGGGACATAAAAAAAATGGAGAACAGTCAGATGCTTTGGAAAAGAGGGGCAAAGCTGTGGCAAGGTGGTTCAATTTAACATTTAATCCCAGATTCCTTTTGGGAGATGAAAGTAGTGCCTTGGTGCCTCTTCCACACAGGCCTAGCTGTGTACATTGGCACACCTTGTATCAATCTTGAAATGGTAACTGCACAGTTAAACTGTCCAAGAGTTCAACTGAGCAAGCTTATACTACATCCTATCCTTCAAGTCAACATAGTGCCATCTTTATAATGACAGCACTGAGCAAATGCCACAGAGATCAAAGTAATTCAGCCAACTCATCCTCACAAGTGGCAATTCAAATCTTGACATTTACATCCTGAATCATATGTTACGTCAGTCAGAAGAGCTTCTGCAGCTTTGATGAGTTACATCATTGGAAAAGGAGAATGTAATATTTCGGTTACGTGAGATAATTAGCCTACCTAAGTCTGTATGCCTAGTTGCCTATATTAATTCAGAATTCCCCATGATAATGTAAAGCATGATGTGAACTCTAATAACGAGCCATGCATTTGAGGACTTTCTTCGGCCATCATCACAGGCAGTCATGTAGCCACTGATTTCCAAATGGAGCAAGAGACAGAAAAATAGGCAGAAAAATAGGAAAACAGAACACATGAGAGAAGGTTACACTACATATCAGTAGAGCAGACATTCCCTTAATTATGTTCTCTGCCAAGTGGCATTCTTGGATCGAGGCTTCGGCAGAGGTCCATGACAGACAAAGAGACTTGGAAACAGTATGCGAGGATAATCTGCTCTTTAAAAGAAACTAGACCGTCCTTCAAAGGGGTGCCTCTGTAGAGAAGGAAGCTCTGCTTTAGGAACGGGGGTAGTTGTTGGGAAAGGAGGGGGGGGACAAGGTGCCAGCTCTGGAGTGTGACACCCCTGCAGCCCTATGCCTCTGGGTGCCAGGAATGCGCTTAGCAGAGAAGTGAAGCCAGCGAGAGATGAAACACACACTGAGCCTGTATGAGCGCCAGGGCACCACAGTGTGTGTGTCAGGATGAAGATAGAGCATCTTCAGTAACCCAGCCCACCAGACTCTCAAAAGATTTAAGAGAGTGTACAGAATGTTAACTCCTCAGGGGTCAAGTTACCTGAAAATGTTTATGTAAAGCTAGCCCCTATCTATCATGTGATGATGTCAAAGCGTGAAATCCTTTTCTAATAGTGACAATGTCCCCCATTCTGTTCTAACATACACAACATGACTTGATGTGATGGTTAACACACACTCAGACCTACACTGAACAAAAATATAAACACAACATGCAACAATTATATTGATTTTACTGAGTTACAGTTCATATGAGGAAATCAGTCAATTTAAATGAATTCATTAGGCCTTAATCTATAGATTTCACATGACTGGGAATACAGATATGCATCTGTTGGTCACAGATACCTAAAAGTATTTTTGTGCATTCAAATTGCCATTGATAAAATGCAATCATGTTCGTTGTCTGTAGCTTATGCCTGCCCATACTATAACCCCACCGCCATCATGGGGCACTCTGTTCACAACGTTGACATCAGTAAACTGCTCGCCCACACAACGCCATACACGTGGTCTGCGGTTGTGAGGCCGGTTGGACGTACTGCCAAATTCTCTAAAACGACATTGGAGGCGGCTTATTGTAGAGAAATGAACATTCAATTCTCTGGCAACAGCTCTGGTGGACATTCCTGCAGTCAGCATGCCAATTGCACGCTCCCTCAAAACATGAGACATCTGTGGCATTGTGTTGTGTGACAAAACTGCACATTTTAGAGTGGCCATTTATTGTCAACAGCACAAGGTGCACTTGTGTAATACTCATGCTGTTTAGTCAGCTTCTTGATATGCCACACCTGTCAGGTGGATGGATTATCTTGGCAAAGGAGAAATGCTCACTAACAGGGATGTAAACAAATGTGTGCACAACATTTTAGAGAAATACGTTTTTTTTTTGCGTATGGAACATTTCTGGGATCTTTTATTTCAGCTCATGAAGCATGGGACCAACACTTTACATGTTGCGTTTATATTTTGGGAGAAGCTCTTAACATGACAGGCTGAGGATTGGACAGCACTGAACCTCTAAACTTTATAGGAGATGTAGGCTATAACATGTACTATACACATTTAATGTTTAATGGCACAGATTTAGGTCTCTTTCCAATGTTACTAAAGATATGTCACCACAACACAATGAACAGGATAGAAAGGATTTGGAATTCCACTATCTGTAGCCAACACCATAATTAAATCACAGTTTGGGTCAGTTCTACTTGAGCTTAGCCTGGGTGACAGACTGTTAGGCAGCAAGCAGGCAGTGACCAAACAAGCATGGCACCAAGTTAGCTGCCAGAACCATGACAATGGAAAATTATATAATTTAACATATCCAACGAATTGAAATTATTTGTGGAATTCAATTTTTGAGGTGTAAGACATTGAAAGAGACATTATGCCCAACCTAGCTACAAATGTTGAAAGTTTTCTGAGTGAAATGCAGGTGAGAGAAAGTGAGTGAGTGTGAGAGTGAGAGAGAGAGAGAGACTACAGGGAAGCCCTTAAAGCAGTGCAACCGGCTTAGACCACAGTGCTCATTGTCCCAGATGCCCAAGAAATGCCAACCGAGTCACAGTGGATGAGGATCATGTGGGCAGTAACCACAACACTGAGGAACGAGACGTCCCCTATAGCACAAGTCAGGACCACTGTCCCTTTACACCTCTGCCCCTATATGCCTATCAATCAATCACATTTTATTTATAAAGCCCTTTTTACATCAGCAGACGTCACAAAGTGTTATACAGAAACGCAGCCGAAATCCCCAAACAGCAAGCATTGCAGATGTAGAAGCCTACAGGAAATGACTCCCCTAAGCAGCTGGGACCTTCCCCAGCCCTTAGACAAATTATTTAAGACAGTTGTTTATTTCCCAAACCCCTGATAGGGTTAAATGTCTACATTTACAGTCCTAACATTTACATTTTACATTTTAGTCATTTAGCAGACGCTCTTATCCAGAGCGACTTACAGTTATTGAATGCATACATTATTTTTATTTTATTTTATTTTTCATACTGGCCCCCCGTGGGAATCAAACCCACAACCCTGGCGTTGCAAACACCATGCTCTACCAACTGAGCTACATCCCTGCCGGCCATTCCCTCCCCTACCCTGGACGACGCTGGGCCAATTGTGTGCCGCCCCATGGGTCTCCCGGTCGCGGCCGGCTACGACAGAGCCTGGATTCGAACCAGGATCTCTAGTGGCACAGCTACTAGACCACTGCGCCACTCGGGAGCTAAGGTGCTGATGAGACACGGCTGTCAGCCTCCAGCTACTGTAGAGGTCAAACACTTAGCATTTAAGACAAACTACCACAGCAGTACCATCAATCATCATCATTAATAGCACTTTTCAACCTTGTCTCAAAGCAGCCATACATCACACTGCTGTCATTCCATACAGTAGGAATGAGAGTGTGAGTCAGGCAGGCATTACATTTAGGCTTGCACACATCGAACCAAATGTGGATCTAGCGTTCGTCTGCCGATCTTTCAGCGTGCTTTGTTTTAGGGACCACCCGCTGTAGACGTCTGACTGCCGACATATTTCACGTGATTCTACATGCAAAATTGTCGCGCACTCTGTTCACAAATTACGTTCATAGGTGCTAAGTACTCTCGGCCAGCAAACGCCATTGGTGTATCTGAGCCCTTATATGTGCTGATCTAGGGCAGAGGTGGTGTCAAGCTGCAGATATGGGTTCCAGTTGCGAAGTGTGCCATGGCAGAGCAGAGGGTACCTCGTTGAGCAGAGCCACAGCCCGGCATCGTGGTTATTTTAAAACCAGCAGACAGAGTATGTACAGCACGCACTCCGCTAACCACTGACTGACTACATCAAAGCCACGGTCCCATTCCCAAGTTCTATAGTGTCAGAAATTAAAGATCTGCTCTGAGAGAAAAAAGGCTACAGGTATTCGCACCCCCTAAAATTGCAATCGGCAAGTTGTTCGGCTTCTGTTATGGCTGCTTGTTCCTATCAAGGCGGCAGGTGCATAAAAATTCACTGATGGAACTTGTTTTTGTACAATTTGAAAAAGGGGCGCACCATATAGAGTACAGACTGTTGTACAGATCGTAATGTCAAAGGCAATTTATGTAACCCTCATTTCAGACAACACGTTTACCAATTGCTGACTAACAATAAAAACAACCGAAGTCTGTGAAATATCTCAGTATACAAAATGATCTTGCACAAACCAGCAAACCAAAATGTGTGTGACCTTGGGTGCACACAGTTCCATTGGAGGCAACACCGGGACCCACACAGTTTAATCTAATTAATCTGACGTGGATGACCTAGGACCACTGTGGTAATTAAATACATTCATTAGAGGGACTCCGCTGCCCTTGAATAACCCTGGCTAATTTATTACAGTTATTAGAGCTTCCTCAGGCTTGGCCTTGTCAGGAGTCATGGAACAGCTTTGTTCTGCCAGCACCTTGACAGGATTATATGGCCCCATTTCCAGTGGCTATTCATTACAGTCAGGCTCCATCAAAATAGAGACCTACCTTTCCAAAATATGTGTAAGTGCACAGCCACATCAAAGTGGCGCCTTTGATAAGAAGCACGCCATTGTCCATAAGGTTGAGTCTGTATGAAGAAGGCTACCTTTTGTTTATCCACTCAGGTTGGTGTGGACTACGGATGGGCATTATAATTATTTTCACTGTTGAAGCACTCACATTATTTTTTTCTGAGTACTCGAGTGAGAAAATAAACAATTTTTTTAACAAAACATTACGCATTATCTACAGTTGAAGTATGAAGTTTACATACACCTTAGCCAAATACATTTAAACTCAGTTTTTCACAATTCCTGACATTTAATCCTAGTAAAAATGTCCTGTCTTAGGTCAGTTAGGATCACCATTTTATTTTAAGAATGTGAAATGTCAGAATAATAGTAGAGAGAATGATTTATTTCAGCTTTTATTTCTTTCATCACATTCCCAGTGGGTCAGACTTTGACTTTGTTGTCCTTAAGCCATTTTACCACAACTTTGGAAATATGCTTGGGGTCATTGTCCATTTGGAAGACCCATTTGCGACCAAGCTTTAACTTCCTGACTGATGTCTTGAGATGTTGCTTCAATGTATCCACATAATTTTCCTTCCTCATGATGCCATCTATTTTGTGAAGTGCACCAGTCCCTCCTGCAGCAAAGCACCCCCACAGCATGATGCTGCCACCCCCGTACTTCACGGTTGAGATGGTATTCTTCGGCTTGCAAGCGTTCCCCTTTTTCCTCCAAACATAACGATGGTCATTATGGCCAAACAGTTCTATTTTTGTTTCATCAGACCAGAGGACATTTCTCCAAAAAGTACGATATTTGTCCCCATGTGCAGTTGCAAACCGGACTTGTTTTACTGTGGATATAGATACTTGTGTACCTGTTTCCTCCAGCATCTTCACAAGGTCCTTTGCTGTTGTTCTGGGATTGATTTGCACTTTTTCGCACAAAAGTATGTTCATCTCTAGGAGACAGAACGCGTCTCCTTCCTGAGCGGTATGACGGCTGCGTGGTCCCAAGGTGTTTATACTTACGTACTATTGTTTGTACAGATGAACGTGGTACCTTCAGGCGTTTGGAAATTGCTCCCAAGGATGAACCAGACTTGGAGGTCTACCATTTTGTTAATGAGGTCTTGGCTGATTTCTTTTGATTTTCCCATGATGTCAAGCAAAGAGGCACTGAGTTTGAGGGTAGGCCTTGAAATACATCCACAGGTACACCTCCAATTGACTCAAATTATGTCAATTAGCCTATCAGAAGCTAAGTGTACGTAAACTTCTGACTTCAACTGTACGTTTTATAGGCATTCATTTTTGTAGGCCTACGGGAGCTTGTGTGCACTCAGCAGCACGCGTGTGTAGAGGGAGCGGTCAGAACTCAATTGAGTGACAACTGTGTGATGCTTGGCTTGGTTTCTTTTTTGTTGTGCCCCGCAAATGCACATGTACAAATGGAACACTAGAATCTTCAAGACAACATTTCAATTTTGGGGGGGAGACAAAATGTAACTTGCCCATTCGGGCAGCCACAAAGCACATTCCACCAAATAGTTTTACAGTACTTGAACAAAAATGTGATCTCTGGTTAAAGATGTAATTTTAAAGTCAATTTGAGTACATTTTACATTTACATTTTAGTCATTTAGCAGACGCTCTTATCCAGAGCGACTTACAGTTAGCGCATACATTATTTTATCGAACCCACAACCCTGGCGTTGCAAACGCCATGCTCTACCAACTGAGCTACATCCCCTGCCGGCCATTCCCTCCCCTACCCTGGACAACACTGGGCCAATTGTGCGCCGCCCCATGGGTCTCCCGGTGGCGGCCGGCTACGACAGAGCCTGGATCCTCTGGTACTTACACACATCCCTAGTGCGAACATGAAATTGTGTAAAGATGAACATGCTTTGACAGAAACTAAAGATTGGTTTCTAAAAAGGTTTGGTGGAGTTTCAGAAATTGAGGTTTACAAGGTAAAATTCACAAAAAGGGAAGCTAACAAGTCTTTATGAGAGTGTTTTGAAGGCTGGACTCGGTTGCCTATGGTTTCTGTGGGTGTCATGGGAACTGAATAGAGTTCTCTTCCACCTGAGCAGAACACTGACGTACAGTACAAGAGAGCTCTCAGCAGGACAGCAGGCCTAATCCACCGCTACCAACCATTCAGTAAGCAGGGATCACAGTCCAATCAGAACTCCATCAAAGGAGTGGGGAAGTCAGTCCTCGGTAGACATTAGTGGGGTTACCACATGCTGCTCCTGTAGAGAGGGCATTTTAGCAGGGTAGGAGTTGGGAGGTTTGATTCTCTGACTGTGGAAGTAGTAAAACCAGTACGAGAGCCATTTGTTAGATCATGCTAATCAGTGGGCTCACTCATTAAATCAGCCGAACATGTTCTGTTAGTGATGTTGGGCATTTCCATCGAAAAGTACCAATAAGCACCAACATGTGATGTTCATAGGAGCATATCAAATTGGGTGTCAAATGAAAGCGAAGAGTCTATATTTTAGGGAAATGAAAGTATAGATAAAACATTTTAAACCATTTTCCTTTTTTGGTGGGGGGGCATCAGTAAAGGCTTTCTGGATTTCTGGATAAACAGATCTACCAGAAAAATTCTTAAAAGGTATCAGAAATACATTAAAAACACAATAATGTTGAAGTAAAGACCCCTGCCAACTAATATCAACACATTTTTAGTTTCGGAGAAATTGTTTACCTTCTGTAAATTTAAGAAATATTGCCTTTTTCCTTGTAATTCCGTTACAAAAAACCCCACAGAAGTTCACAGAAGTAATAAGTAATGGTAGACCTACCAATTAGTTATAGTGATTTTACTGACATAAAATGTGTTTATGAATTATTAATGATTAAAATTCGTAATTACCCAAACGGTACAGTAAAATACAGTATAATACTCTGCTCTGCTCTATTGTACTGCACTGTACTCTACTGTGATGTCCAAACTTGTGAAGCATGAGGATAATTACATTATATATTTATGTGTAGTACAGATCAGGGACCCATGATGTAATTCAGTTACAGTAGTTCAATAACCAAAATATTTTTTTTCAAACTCAAGATGCCATGTCATAGTGGACACCCCATCTTAATTCGTAGCAGATATTTAACAGAGTTGGAATTGCCCTGTTCTTTAAAAAAATATCAAATTTTAAATCCTAGTGATCACAAGGAAAAAGCGGCTCTTGAGAACGTATTAAAACGTCATTGGGGAATGTGCTGGATGAATTAACCAGAGCTGAAACATGAAACAGGCTGCAGTCGCTGTTAGTTGGGGGTTACGACTTGGAGGGGGGGGTATTTGATGCTTTGCGCCATGCACTCATCTCCCCTCCCCCACTTCATGACCCCCCGCAAGACTAGTAACAACATTCCCCTTCTGGATAGTCCCCATAACGCCCCCACCTACCATGGTTCACATCACCATCTCTACTGTCCACAATCCTCATCAGAACCTCTGCAGTCTGACCTCACACTTTTTTTTTTCTTTTTTTTTTTGTCATTTAGCAGACGCTCTTATACAGAGCGACTTACAGGAGCAATTAGGGTTAAGTGCCTTGCTCAAGGGCACATCGACAGATTTTTCACCTAGTCGGCTCGGGGATTAGAACCAGCGACCTTTCGGTTACTGGCACAACGCTCTTAACCACTAAGCTACCACCCTCACCCTCACCACACAGCCAATGAGAGGGTCTGACAACCCTGTAATGGACAGACTGAAGCTCAAACACAGCATGATCGCTGATTTAATTCTCTAAGCTCCCACAATATTGTCCATTATCCAACACAGAGCACGGAAGCAGAGGCAGTTGGTAACTGCCACCTCTGAATGTAGACACATAGGACTCAGAGACAAAACAGACAACCCCTATGGGCACTGGAGTGATAAGAGAGTATCAAAATGATTCGCTTTCGGAATTGTTCACAAGTTTTACACAAACGTAACTCTGGGCTGGATCATTAAGGGCTCAGACACAGCAGTAGTGGTTGCTGGCCCAGAGTACTTAGCACCTCTGAACGTAATTTGCGAACCAAGTGTGCACCGATTTTACATGTAGAATGGCTTGAAATTTTTTGGCAGTTAGACATCTACAGAGGTTGGTCCTTAAAAAAACGCTAGATCCACATTCGGTGCAATGTGTGCATGCCTTAACTAAAGCCTACATGATCCTGTAAGGAGGGCAAATTGAGGCAGATTTGGACAATGTGCCCTTGGCCTCT